TCCAGCAGAAGCTCAGGAATTAATTAATTAAATATTTCCATTTTCTTTACCTAATGTGTGTACATGTTTACATGTATAGAGAGAAAAAGCTTATTTTTTTTAACTTCTTCTATAAAAAGAAATATGAATTAAAAATTTTTCAATTAAAAATAATATTTTATGAATTATGCATAAAATATAACTTCCCATAGTGCATTTTAAAACAAACAAGGTTTCTAATAAATTATCCAGCTATGAGCCTGAAGAAATTAAAAATGAAGAAATCGATGCTAGAATTTGATATATTACCTGCTTTCTCCCCAAATTTGGGCATATTTTAAAAATATACAATCTCACATGGCCGTCAGTAGTTTACAAGCATTGCAAATTTTGTGTAAATATTGTGAACCTTTCTTTACAGTTGCTCTGTATTTTTAAAGTACCAACTATTTTTTAATTCATTCAACTTTATTATTTTATTTATTTATTTTTCTCAGGAACAATACATTTTAGTTATAATAATATATATATTATTTCTTTAATATTTAAGGCTTCTAGAAATGCAAAGAAATTTTTAAAATTTACTTCAGCTTCTATGCAATTAGTGTTCATAATATGCATTATAACCTTACTTATCTAAAAATTGCTAGCATACTTTACTTTCACAGTTCATAAGCAAAAATAAAAATTTCCAATAACAAGGAATTTCCTTTCATAACTGCCCCATTTCTTTAAAAGTAAAAGAAACAAAACTTTTCTGCATTTTATGTCAGGATCCATATCAAATCCAAAATAAACAATACTCGCTTAAGCGGAAAAAATTCAGATGTTCAGCTTCATAACTTGCGAACTGGTTAATTGGCACCAAAATATTACAGTGACACCTAGCGGCGGAAAATGAAAATAATCTACAGACACGCGGCAGTGGAAACGCTTGTACGGATGCCGTAGGCGTGTCTTCAATTGACGCAACACGTTCGTACACAGTACTAGAAACGGGCCTTTAGGCTAAAAATTGATAGAGATCAAGGTATCTAGATTTTAGATTTTGTACTATACTATATATATATATAATACACTAGCTGATATCCACTCGCTTTGTTGGGCATACTATCTATTTGAATATGAACCTAGACATCTTACATGGATGAAATGTCTAATTTCAAACTAATAATTACTGTAATTTTTTTTTTAAATTTAGAGTCGAAAAATATAGTGCCAGTCAGTGAATCTGTCACATACAGACTTCCACATCACCCATGAGGTACTGTGTATTGGGATGCATCCCCATTATCCCCAGTAGGCCTACACCACAAATAATTGCAAACATAAAAGTAAGGTTTATGTATATCTAACTGTTATCAAAAGTTTCATGAAAATAAATGTTATTATCTTTGTTATCAAATTTTTTAATCAATTATAATTATTTGTCCTTCAATTTTATATATGGCAATTTCTATAAATAATAACATTTTTATTTTTCATCACAATAATTTATTCCTCTTAATAAAAAATATTATTTTCATGAAACTTATGACAACAGTTAAATATAAATGTTATTATTAACCTTATCATTTAAATGTCATTTGTATTTGTAGAGACATTAGGTATTTTGGAAACAGGAAAGATGAAAAATATGCAACGCCTTCGCCAGGAATCGAACCGTTGACCTCTCAATTACGCACTGAGCGTGCAGACCACTACAACACAAAGGCTCGCTAAGAAGGTGGGGGAAATACCTTAATGTATAAGATGCAGGTAACTTTTTTGAGAACAAATTTAGGAAAAAAAGTGAGTCTTATATGCCGTCAAATACAGTAACAATTTAATAATTTTAAAGAAATAATGGGGTGTATAGTTTCAGAGATCTCGTGATGTCAGTGGTATTTTACTTATATATACAGTACAAAGTCTTTAATCCGGACCTCAAAGCTATAAACTTTCTGCATATGTGTTTACACATGCGCATAATACGTTTACACATGCGTGTTTTAATGTATAACGGATGGTATAAGCTAGGCTAAAATTATCTATTTCAGTTAATGTTGCAGATTGTGTTGTTCCTTAATCTTCTAATTGGATCCGGCTTATTATTTTTTGCAGACTGTTAGAGCAATTTTATAAAAAGTAAGCTTGAACTTTCGATTATGTCAAAAAGAATTTCTGATTCTGGAGTTGCCAAAGGATCTACAAAGCGAAAGCATGTTTCGATGTCCAGCAGACAAAAAGTGGAATTGCTGCAAAAAATGGATAAAGGCATGAAGAAAGTGACAGAGAGGTTAGTGAAAATGAAAAAATTTCGATTGATAAGTTAGTCGGTATTCTCGTCACAGCAATTACAGGACTTGAACAGTGGAAATTTGTAACTGAACAAGAAATTACGTCTGCTTATAGAATTAAAGAGAAAATATTAGCACATAGTACAACGAAGCACTTAAACAACTTACATTGAAAGAAATGTGTTAATAAAGTAAACAAATAAATATTAAGCTTTTTTTTAATTTTGTTACCCTTTTAGATCATAATTGCTCTTTATTTCATAAATTACGGTTTCATATTTTTAATTTGGCCCACCAGCGGCCGAGCGGTAACATCGCTGAACAGTGGTAGTTCGGTCCGAGGTTCGAATCCCGCGAACGGGCTGCTGCATGGGCATTTTCGTGGTTTTCCCCATGTGTAACGTGTATGCGAGCCAGTTTCCCTTAAAAAGTCCTCCACGAAGGCATCCCTCCCTTAAGGCAGATAGCCCTCGAGTGCTTTGCCATAATCTAATAAACCAACCAAACCAAACGATATTTTTAATTTTATAATTTCTGCATGCCATCTTACCAGATTTAAATTGATCTATAAACCGGAATCACTGAAGTTCTGACGAGTCCGGATTAAAGACTTTTTAGTGTATATAGATTATATTATACATTACTGTTTTTCTTCCAATGCACACAGTGATCTATTTTTGCTTGAAAAAGCATCACCCTTATGCAAAAACGTGGCACTGCACATATTAACAATTTATATACTTTCAATTGTATGATACATTACTGTCTTTCTTTCCATGTACACAGTAACCTGTTTCCCACTTAAAAAAAACAATAGAGAACTCCGCAAACTCACCATTGCACATCAGCTATGGTTAGACTCCACTATAAATTATTAAAAAATATATATATAATACATTAAAAAATACAGCTTTTTCTAGAAATTTATTTATATCGTGGAGGATAAATCTTTTTTAGGGCCTATAAGTGATGAAAATTGTTTTTGAGACTCATTTTTATGCATCTTCTGCCACACGTACTCGACAAGATAGAAAACATTTTCCTGTTTAGGACATGGAAGTTAAAATGGAATTCTATTTATGCCATTTAAAAATTAAGAAACAGCATTCAAGTGATTGAGAGACAAATATTCCACAATCACATTAATAAACCAATCAAAGTTACCAAAATAAAGTCATTAGAATGCAATGAAAAAAAGTAAGATTACAAGATTAAAATTCTAATCTGTATCTATTCTAATTAAGATTTAATTCTAATTTATAAATTTTGTTAGTTTCTGTAAAATAAAAGGGATGAAGCAGATTAATCCATACCCTCCAAGTTTTAAAAATACAGGAGCTAAAACTAATTTCTTCAAGAGGTGCTTCTACATCGGCTTCGGGGATCATTATCTAATAATGAAATTGCAAAATTTGTTATGCATCCTATACTTCACTTTAGGCCCATTCAGATTTGGAGATGGGGTAAAACCCATAAATGTCATCTCATTCTGAATACCAGAAACAGTCTGAAGACTTTTTCAATCAATTTACACATATTCTGCTACAAACCTGTGTTTCAAAAGACTTGTTACATACTAAGACTAGCAAATACTGCTTGAAGATAACATTTCTTTAACCCCTTCCCGGCTTTTCCCGAGCTGGACTCGGGCAAGCGAAATGTACCATTCTGGCTCATCCCGAGTGTAGCTCGGGCACTGTGAAAATTAACACTGCACAACCAGTCTTTCCCGAATTATTTCACATGTCCCTTTTATGGTTTCAGATGCTTTTATTTACTATTGTTGCTACTAGATGGCAGCACTATACAGTGTTTTGAGCTGTAGATTTAAGATAAAAGTAGGCGCCAATTTCTGATGCAAGTTCAGATGTTTTTGTCGTAAAGCATCACGTGCTTATATAACTAACGTTCTGTTTTTTTTTTTTTTTTTTTTTTTTTTCAAAATGGCTTGTGCGCGGTATATTGATTCTGATTCCAGTGAATCCGATTCCGAAGATGATTTTGGAAGTGAATACCGTTTAGATGTTTCAGAATCTGATTGTTCAGATTTCGGTACTTCTGAAACAGAAAGTGATTCTGATTCAGAAAGCTTGAGTGATGCTCGTCAGTGGTGTGAACTCAATAGGGATACACCAAATCCTGTTCCCCCAGAATTTATATTTCAAGGACACCCAGGACTAAATTTTTTTCCTGACAGTGACGACATTTTGCAGTTTTTTGAATATTTTTTTGATGATGGAACTCTACAAATTATATGTAATGAAACAAATCGTTATGCTTCTCAGTACTTGAAAAAGGAATCAAGGGCACAAAAATGGTATCCAACTACAAAAAATGAAATTATGATATTATTAGTGGTTTTCACTTTACAGGGCATCGCGAAAAGCCCGAAGAAGATTTATATTGGTGTAAAAAAGAATATTTCACACCTATATTTGGGAAACTTCTTTCAAAGAGAAGATACAAACTCTTGGTGCAATTTTTACATTTTGCGGACAATGAGGTTTATGATCCCGAATCGCACCCTAATCCAAAATTGTGTAAAATATGGCCTTTGTTCGAGCGTTTGAATGGGAAAATTTATGAACCCGCATATTCTCTAAGTAAAAACATTTCTATTGATGAAAGTTTGATGTTGTATAAGGGGCGCCTTGGTTGGGTGCAATATATGCCACTCAAAAGAGCTAGGTTTGGCATAAAATTTGACATGTTATGCGAATCGGAATCTGGTTACATGTGGTCATGCATAATCTACACAGGAGAAGGAACCATTTTGAATTAGCAATTCAAAAGTATGCCTGTGTCATCACAAGTCGTGATGACACTATTGTATCCTCTTTTGAACAAGGGAACTGTGTAACTACTGATAACTTTTATTCGTCCCCAGAACTGGCAGAATTGCTAATATGGTATAAAACCGACATATATGGCACAGTTCGCCTGAACAGGAAAAGTATGCCTATTGAGCTAAAAAAAAGGAAGTTGAAAAAGGGAGAAATTGCTGCATATCAAAAGGGAAAAGTCATGGTCCTGAAATGGAAGGACAAAAAGGATGTAGCACTACTTTCCACTGTGCACAACATGGAGATGATTGCAGTTACCAGCAGGAAGGAAAATAAAATGAAACCAAAAGTGGTAGTGGATTACAATGGAACTATGGGAGGGGTCGACCGTGTAGACCAAAGACTAAGCAGTTACAATGTCACTAAAAGAAGAGGGAAAAAATATTACAAGAAAGATATTTCTCCATTTATTGGATATAGCACTATGGAATTCATATGTGTTGTACACAAAATCTGGTGGAAAAAGAAGTCATCTTCAGTACAGAACGAAAATAATAGAAAAACAATTATTGAAAAGTACCACTCGGTAGGAATTTTCTGCCAAAAAAAGGACGTCCTTCTGCTTGATCACCTGCCCATCACGTCTGTCTGAAAGACATTTTGTTGATTACATTCCACCAACGGAGAAAAAAAGTAATCCAACAAGACAGTGTATTATTTGCTGCTCAAAGAGAGACAGTAGAGGGAAGAAGGTAAGAAGAGAAACAAGATTCTTACTGTCCAGATTGCGATGTTGGACTCTGTGCAGTACCGTGCTTTCGAATGTATCCATACACGATCAAATTTTGATTAATAATTTCATAATAATTTATGTAAATGCACAGGATATAAATAAAAATTTGTAATTCAAGATTAAAAGCTAGGTATTCTAAGCTTTATATTTATAGTTAGTGTGAATTAACTCCAAAGTCTAATGATTTCTGCCATACAGAAAGCCAACTTTACAGGTAAATTACTCATTTATTTAAATTTATAAATAGATATTTTTACATTTATTTTTAGGAAATGTTTGCATGCGAATGATGCTATTATGTTTAAAAAGATATGTATGTATGAAAATAAGCATAAAAAAAATTGACATTTTTTTATCCGTAATCCCGAAATAAAATGAGCCTGGAAGGGGTTAAAATGATTTGCAATTTTTCATGCATGAATAAGGCTTTTATTTTGTGGGAAAAAATAAATGGCTTATTAAGCATTTTGATGAAATGAAAAATTATGTATCTCACACGATGAGACTAATTTTTATTACAGGGACAAGTTTTTACTACACATATAAATAAAGGCTATTATGAATCTAGCTTTTCCTCAAAAGATATGAAGCTGCCATACTGTGCATACACAGGGTCAGCTCCAGCCTGTGTCATGGCATAGAGCACTGTGTATGTAGGGGCAAAAATTCCTGATCATAAATTTGAAACATCATTTGCGTTATATGGCTGCCAGTTACAGCACAATAGCAAGGAAAATGAATGGAAAACTAACTAAATACAACATGAGCAGCTCTGCCATTTTTTCCCCCCACCACTGTAGTCTTTATGCAAAACTATCTTGAAGACTAACGTGAATTTCATCAATTTCTTACTTTGAATTTGCACACTTCATCCCTTAGAATCTAACAAGCTTAGGTTGCATGAAACAACTATGTGCCATCTACCATTTTTAATACCACATACATTTTTGTCTTCTATCGCATTTTAAACACATTTTTGTCTTCTAACGCATTTTAAACATACATTACATTAAAAAAAAATTAAAAAAAAATACTTCTGTATTTTCATCATATTGAGAGTTAAGATAGCAATATACAATAAAAAATGGCATCACATGTAACTTATAGTTAAATTTATCTGATGTAAACATCATAGTGTAAGGCTGGACTGCCTTTAAACATCAGCAATCTTGTATCAACATCATATATTTTTTTTGTGTGAAAATGTTGAGCCTTAAGTCAAATAGGTGTCATTTGCAGGATCTTCTGATTTACTTCTTTAATTTGAAGAAATCTGCAGATGAGGCACATTGATTGCTTTATGATGAATCTACCTTAACCTGTGAGGGCATGCACTGGGTCCAATCTTAACCCACGAGTGCAAGGACTGGGTCCACTGGATCTGTGCAATTAAACAAACCTTTCTCAATACACACCTATTTCATGCAAGCTGTTCAGGTAAAGTGTAGTCGTGACTGAAGTCGACCTCGTTATGTTTTCGAAGTTTTTTTGCTTTGATTCAGAGTCATGATTTTGATCGGATCAGGTCAATTAGACCCAGCACGCCTATTCGTATTACTATTACATAGTTGATTTGTGACAATTTAGAAAGTGGCAAACATGTTGCATAACTTATCTTACAAGAAAGAAATGTTTCAAAAGGTATTAAATGTATCAACTGGTAATGAATACATTGAAGAAAATGAGGATGGAAGTAATCATGAATATTTATTACTCAGAAACTGGTATAGATTTTGAAAACGTGAGTGAGAATGACATAAATTGCTTTATTGGGAAAAAATTATAGAAAACGAAGAAAAAAAAAAAGAAATAGGGAAAAAACATGAAGTGTTTGCCAGGCGAATAAACACAGAAAAGCTAAAATGTGCTATACCGAATGTGAAAAATATTTGTATTTTGAACATATGACAACACTTTGTACAATGTGCTGCCAACATTTGTTGGCAAGTGTCTCTAATGCTAATAAAGCATTGAGACAAAGTAAAGGTATACTGTTTTTCTTCCTATGATAAATTATAATACGTTTTTCTATTCCTTTAAGAAATTTTATTTCATAAAAGCATTTAGAGGAATTAAAAAGTTTAATGGACATATTTTTTAAGTCTGATCATAAAATTTATTATTGGCATAGATGTAACACTTTTTCTGAAGATTTAAAATTTTTTCTTCAAAAAACACGAATTGGGGCTTTTAGACCCAGCGCACATGCTCATGTAACTAATATGAGCATGCCCACTTCCGGGTTAAGCGACAGATGTTGTGAGTGGTTTCAAAATAGAGAATTTTATGTCAAAGACAAAGAACATAGCAGATGAATGAAAGTGCACGAAGACGCAGGATTGGAAGCATTATTAGATAAGTTTCATGGTAACATAAGAACTTGCAATTAACATTAGAAGTAACTCAACAAGCAATTTCGCATCATTTAAAAAGCATTGGGAATGATTCAAAAGCAAGGAAATAGGGTTCTATACGATCTGCGGAGAAATGCTGAATGCCAATTTATTACAAGTTAAATGCTTTTGAGGCATAAATGAAAGGGCTTTGTCCATCATATAGTTACTGGTAATGCACTACAAGAAACCAAAGGAAAAAAAAAAAACATGTGGGCCACTTCGCCATCCTTCAACACTGACAGCCATTCATGGAATAAAAATCATATTGTGTACCCATATACACAATATGACTTTTGGATAAATATGGGATGGGATAAACTTGGTGTCATGTATTAAGTTTCTCAAACCGAACGAAACCATTACTAGGGCTCTGTACCGAACACAAATGATGAGACTGAGCCAAGCACTTAAAGAAATAGGCATCCATTACTACTCCAGACATGACAAAATTATTCTCCTGCATGATAATGCTCATACACATGATGTGGTGGTGGTCAAAACCTACTTGGAAATACTCAAATAATAAGTTTCCTTTCTCCTGCTGTATTCATCAGACTTTGCTCCTTCTGATTATTGGTTGTTTCAACTGATGAACCACAGCCTGTCTAAGCAGCACTTCACATCATATGAAGATGCCAAAAATTGGGTTGACTTGTGGATAGCCTCGAAAGATGAAGCATTCTTCCGATGCAGCATCCGTATGCTGCCACAAAGGTTGGTGAAAAAAGCGGCTAGCAATGGACAATACTTTGAATAAAATGCCCAATTTTTGATAAAAACGAGCACAGTACTCCCTATATGTTTCTTTATAGTCTTCTTTCATCCAAGCAACTAGTTATATATACAACTCGCTTATTCACACAGCAGAGAAACTCTATCTCTACTATGTGAATATGCCTATTTAAAACAAGCTTTTGTTTAAACCAGTGGTCTCAAACTGGGAACCCATGAAGCAATTTTATGTGGCTTGCGAAGACATTTCAGCAGAAGCGTAGCTAATGTTTTCGGGGCCCGGGGACGACTGAAGATTTTGCGTCCCTTTCTCTGTGCCAAGAATGGAAAACATTTCATTCTAAAATTTCGTAACATCAATTTGGCGCCCCCTGAATGCTGCGCCCGGGGACAGATGTCCCCCTTGCCCCACCCTAGCTACGCCACTGCATTTCAGTTATGTATTTGTTGCAAATATAGTGCTATAAAGTATTTCAAGAGTTTAATTATTTTTTTATTTCTCGGTTTACATAATTTTATTATTATTAAAAACTAATGCAAATAAAACATCAGAAAATGGAGGAAGCTAATTTACAATATGATGTACAGCTTATTCAAGTATATAGATTTTATTAACTTTTATTCATATTTGTCAAAAATAAATCGAATATTAATTTGTGTACTAAGAATAATCACTTTATTTAGGAAAACATTTTTATATCAACAGCTTTTCTTCACAGTTGGACATTAATAAGAAAAAACCTGACTGACCAAAGAGCATAATTTCCTTTTAAGGCTACAAATTTTATCAAAATCTAAACGTCGTCATGTTTTAGTAAGATTGAGAAGTTTATTTACATGCAAATGTGCGTTTTTATTTATGCATTGAAGAAAAATTTAATAAATAAGAGCCTAAGTTTTCATTATTTATTCTCGAGTTTTTATCTCACTTGAAAAATTTTCTCAGAAAAGTCACAAATGTTTTCAAAATTTTTTTCAGTTTAAATTAAAATATGATATTAAATGATTTATTAAACATTTTAAATAAACATCATTCTGAAAATCTAATATTTACCTGCCAATATATTTACATTACAAAAGATACCCAACAGAAATGTTTTGCAGAAAACTTTTGATTTCAGACTGAAAATAAATAAAAATTTGAATATTTTTCCTTTGTGATATTATTATTATTATGCATGTTTGGAAATACTTAGTAAATGAAAATTTTTTAATTTATTTAAAATATATTTTATTTTGTTAAAAAAAATGCGGTTAATCTTTGGATTATGGTAACTTGGCGAAAATTTGGCGACCAGCCCTGCTAGTTTTTGTTTGGACGTCATTTTGTTTTCACGAAGTAAAGGCTTTTTTTTTTTTTTACTCAACATTTTTTTCCAACAAATCTGCTGCCGAATTACGCTTATGCTAGAACTTTTACAGAACAAAAGTGCTTAATCCTGACTTAGATTAGGTACCAAATTGGAAGAAAGTGCAGAATCGCAAACTGCTTGCTGCGTTTTTAAGAATTGCACATACACGGTTCATCCATGTACACGTCGACCTATTTCACTTAAAAACATCCAGAATTGCACAAAATGGCATTGCGCACACTCTTGACTATATCCATGTACACTGCTAAAGTCCTAGCTAGTAACCTTTATCGCATTACCAAAATGTCGCCAAACTACCTGTTGCCATATTCCAAAGATCAGCCAAAAATTCTGTCTCATCAGCTGTTTTCAGATCGTGGATATAGCCTAAGCACAATCCAAGTTGGAGACAACTGGTCTAAATGACTTCATATACACATCACACACACAGCATTTCTCATCTATGTGGATGAACATATATATCCTCAATTATTATCTATATTATTTTTTTCGTGTGTGAATGACCACATGCTCATTTAAATAATGGTTTTGTGTAAATGATTTGTTACATACATTACAGACATAAGGTTTTTCTCCTGTGTGGATACGCATGTGTTCCTTTAAAGCACCCTTTATTCTAAATGATCGTTTGCATATGAGACACAGATGAGATTTCTCTCCTCTATGAATAAGCACATGTTTACTTAAACTACATTTCGATCTAAATAACTTGTTACATACTTCACACACATAAGGTTTCTCCCCAGTATGAATAAGAATATGTTTTCTTAAATCGTACACTTGTGCAAATGACTTTTTACAAACCTCACACCCATGAGGTTTCTCTCCAGTATGAACACGCATATGGTTGATTAAATGACCCGTTTGTCTAAATGAACTGTTGCATATATCACACACATAAGGCTTCTCTTTTGTGTGTGTACGCATATGCACATTTAATTGATACTTTAGTTTAAATGATTTGTTACATATCTCACAGAAATGGGATTTCTCACTTGTATAAATAAGAAAATTATCCTTTTGTCCCAATGGCTTTTTGCATGTCTCACAAACATACGGTTTTTCTTTTGTGTAAATTTTCATGTGCTTGTTGAAATAACAATTTAGTCGAAATGATTTATTACACACCTTGCACACATGACACTCCTCTCCTGTATGAATAGGCACATGCTTATTTAAATCGCCTTTAAATCTAAATGATTTGTTACATACTTCACATGCATAAGGTTTCTCTCCAGTATGGATAAGTCTATGTCTTTTTAAATAACGTATTCGTTGAAATGACTTGTTACATATCTCGCACACATGAGGTTTCTCTCCTGTGTGACTATACAAATGCTCCTTTAAATTACTCTTTTGTCTAAATAACTTGTTACATATCTCGCACACATGAGGTTTCTCCCCTGTGTGAATATACAAATGCTCCTTTAAATGACTCTTTTGCATAAACGACTTGTTGCATACATCACACACATGAGGCTTCTCTCCTGAGTGAATTCGCATATGCTTATTTAACTCCCCCTTTAGTCGGTATGGTTTATTGCAGACATCACATGCATGCATTTTCATTCCCGTATCAATGAGTAAATGCTGATTTAAGTCCCACTTTAATTTGATTGATTTATTATATATAGGAAACACATTAGGTGTATGGTTAGGCGCGTTCGGCTCAACTAGAAAGTAACAGCATTTCCCCAAGTACTACGCAAATAACATATTTGCAGCATATCACCTCATTCGTTTACATATCCATTTATTGAGAACAATTATAATACAACTGGATAGTCCTTTCACACAATAATAACTTCTCGAAGAAAATTAGCCCAAAAAAAAAAAACACTTTGT